ATACTTTGTAAAGGCACTGAAGCCATTTCTTCTCTAATTACTCCAGAAATAGAACGTGGTGGCGCACCTGCTTTTCTCTCTTTATTCCCTCCCCTCTGAAGGCAGTAGTCCATAAAAAAGTAAAGGGCACACAAAAAAAGAAAAATATTTTTTCTAAGTCTCTTTCCAAAGTGATTTTTACATTTGTGTTACCTTTCTCTAAATGTTAAAAGGCAGTGAACAAAAAGATCTCTGGAGATCAGAAATGTGCTTTTAGTTTAAATCTGCTGAGTGTGTGTACCGATGTATGTGTTTGGTTGACAGCAGGTCTGACAGGGGCACCGAGCTTAATCAAGAAAAGAGTTAGGACCACACCAGCAGCTGGTGGCTCAAAAAACTGGGGAGGAAAACCAACCCACAGACTCACGTTATTTTAGACTGGATTGCTACTTATCTCTGTTTTCTTAGGTTCAATGAAAAAAAAAGCAAAAAAAATACTTCTTGCAATGCATCAAGGGTGTGAGATATAACACAAAGCAGGCCAGTGTTCAACACCTTTGAGGGAAAGTGTGGTGACTAACGATGACCATTTCCTTGTTGAATTTAAGCTAGCCTGGTTTCCAATTAGACTGACAAACTGGTGATGGCTAACCAACCAGACATCGTGTTGATCGACAAACAGCAGAAGAAGGCTGCAGTGATAGATGACCATTTCCTGGTTGAATTTAAGCTAGCCTGGTTTCCAATTAGACTATCAAAGCTTACTTTCACTTCAAGTCCAGTGCGCCGCCCATACCGTGATCCAGTCCTGGGTGACTGCAGCAGCACCCGTACAGTGCAGTGATCTATTGCTTTAGCAGCAAATTTAGCTAATGCATCATCAACATGAACATTAAAATGACTAACATTCAATACTTTGTCAAGTTTAACAGCCACAGAAGACAACATCTCAGCAGATTGAATGCTTAAAACCAATCATGTCATCATTATGCAGAAGTCTGTCTGTAACTCCTGATGTAGGCCAAACTTGTCACAAGACAAAGAGGATCCAGATGCTGGAATAAAAACTCACTCTTGTAAACTCTGTGTATAAGTTTAAAATAAAACTTAAGTGGTCAAGTGTAATCTTGTAAAACAAAAACAAGGAAGGGGTTCCCCACCCAGAGAAAAATCTTTTGCTCAGAATAGTCTTTTGTTTAACTCTTGAGAAAACACAAAGATCTCAATAGTATATCTTTTTGTGATCCCTCCAATCTGAATTGTTGCTCCTAAAACCCCTTAGGAGAAAAGGATGAGATAAAGAGAGATTGAGGTTTTGAGACTTGGGTAAGACAAATGGATACTGAGTTGAGATTACAATAGGAGACTGGAAGTCACATATGAGATCTCATCATTTTATCTTTTTGAGATCACTCCAATCTGAATTGTTGCTCCTAAAACCCCTTACGAGAAAAGGATGAGATGAAGAGCGATTGAGGTTTTGAGACCCAGGTAAGACAAATGGATACTGAATTGAGATTACAATAGGATAAATGAAACAGGTGAGATATCATCATTGTATCTTTCTGAGTTCATTAATGTCTTGCTTATTGCTCCTAAAAAGCATCTGGGAGCTCTGGGGAGATGTTTGTGAGCTTTATTGTATCACATTACTGTCTATGCTTGGAGAACCGTGCTGGAGGCTTGTCCTGAGCTGGATTTGAACTCCGCTCCCGCTGTTCAAAGAGAAAAAATGCTGCTGCTGCACCATCCAGCTAAAACTAACAACGAAGGACTGATTGTCATTGTTTAAATAGAGTACAATTTTCCTTTACTTAAAAGAGGAGAAATACCATATCCACAATTAAAGTCCTCAAAATTCTACTCAAGTAAAAGGTATAAAAGTATTCCATAGAGAATGTACTTAAGTATCAAAAGTGAAAGTGCTTGATACATGTTATATCTCAGTTCTTGCGCGCCTTTATCATGTAAAAGTATTGGGTGTTCCAGTTATGCTGGCTGTGACTACCTTAACAAATTGGAAAACATGACATTTGAAAGTGCATTATTTACAATGTCAAAATGTATTTGATTTTTCTCAGTAACTTGTAACAGATAATTAACAATAAATACAATAAGGATTTGAATTTAAGGGGAAGTACAAACTCAACCACTACTCAACCTCAACATTTGATGTAAGTAAAGTACTTGAGTAAAATAACCCCTAAGTGGGGTCACTAAGACAAAACTGAGAAATATCTTGGAGCTTTTTTTCTGATCCACATTCTGGTAACTGAAATTACACTTATTTAAGATAAGATGAGTTTTTGCTCCTGAGGCCAAAATGAGAAAACTAAGACATATTTGAAAAGAATCATGAGATCCTAGGATTCATAGCTGAGTTTTCTTTGAGCTCTTTCTCTGATCTCATGGTCCAATGTTCAGGAGACTTAAATTAGACTTATTTAAGATCAGTTAGAGATCTCTTGTGTTGATCAGAGTCAGACATAAATGAGATTTTATATGGTTGTTTCTCCTGAGATGAATTTGAGAAGTGAGAGAAAAGGCCTTTGGTCTCACCTTGGTATTAAAGGCAGCTCATTTGTGTCTAAGAGAAATGAAGGAAACAACTATGAGATCTCATCTTGGATTTTGCTTTCCTATGGGCAGTCTAATTCCATTGAGGAGTAGCTTGTAGATGTTGATTGTTGGTGATTTTAATATACATGCTGATAATGCATTAAATATGTTTGCTGCTGATTTTTTAAGAATTGCTCATTATAAAACTACTTATAGTAAGTTACATATAGCTTGACTTGATTTTCTTTTTAACTCTAGTATGTAAAAATGTTATGACATCACAGACTTTCAGATTAGATTAGATTAGATTTAGATCTAGTGACTTTTTCGAGCAGGCTTTAGCTACTTTCAGTGAGTAGCTAAACACATTGGAGCTATTTTACACTAACAGTTACATTAGTAATTTATTACTGCAGGTGTGTCCTTCCAAAACAGGTCGGCTGCTGGTACTGCTTGTCCCAAACATCAGTAGCCTAATTCCCAGCCCATGCAGTATACAACAATCGATCACACCACTGCCTTGCAGGACAAGGAGCCTGGTTGTCCAAGGCAGACATCGCCATCACATTTAGCATTCTCTTTTTCATCTCACTCTAAGCATCCCTGCCTACTGAGAAAATCCACCAGGTGACTCTGGGTAATCTCGGCTCTCTTCCTTTTATAATATACAATAAAATATTATAAATGCATAGCTTTATAGGTTTTTATTAGTGAATTAGAGGATAACTGTGTTTGTTTATTGAACATATCATTTCATTTAATACAAAGCACTGCTTGTTACATCTTATTAGTGTACCATAAAATAAAAAGAGACCCCGAAAACTACCGGGAAATGTAATCAAACTACTAGCATTGCTACAAGTGTAGCCCCAACACTTGCTCTCATATGTCAAAACATATCATATATGAAATAATTCCATTTGCTCCCATATTCTCTGTTTTTCCTCAAAAGAGAGCAAAGGAGGTGTAATTTACAGAGCATATTGTATACTGTGACGCTAAAATCATACGATATTAATGCAGGCGTCAAAACGTGTACTCAGTGGAACATTCTGAAAATTATCTTTTTCTTCTTCTCTGTTTGCATTTTTCAGTTTTGTATTTCTGCCTTTTGTTAATCTTATCAAGTCTGCTCAGTGATGAATTTGTTAATTTTAATCCACTCTGGAGCTAAATTTGATTTGACTGTGTGTATCACTGTCTTCCACTGTGTCCTCACATTCTCTTTTTTTTCCCCCTCTCACACTTTACTCTGGCTGCCTCAATGTCACGGCAGCAAGGCAAAGACAATTAAGGTGTATAAATATGTAAATATGGTCACGGCAGCTCAGCGGGAGGAACAGCGTAATGACATTTTCTGCCCTCGTTTGGCTAATCCCCAAGACACCTCCAAATTAGAAACCTTAATGACAACCAATAACGCACAGATGGTCAAACTCTAGGGGCACACTGGCCCTTCTGATGCTGCCCAGGCTCCTTGCGGCATTGCTCTTCATGCCAATGATACACACATATACACACACACACAGACACAAACACAGGCAGAGGGACACAGATAAACACATGCAAACATGCAAGCCAGCACTGGCAAGCAGGGAAGCAGGGACACCAGCACGCATGATGTAGAACACACACAGTGCACACAGACATGCACATCACCTAGCCAGATGCCACCCGTGCCCATGGGGGTGATCATGGTCGTAACTAGAAGGTCAGGTCTTGGCAGACCGTTTAAGGCCAGGCAGGCCCTGCTTCAATGTGTTTTTTGCGTGTGTGTCTGTGTGGATGTGTGTGTAGAGGTTATTGTTTGGTGTCTCAGGTAATATGTCCGGCAAGGCTTTGTGGCAGATGTCGACCATCCGTCTTGCAAAGTTGACATATAGAAACACTCCCTGCGGTCAGATCTCAGAAGAGACAAGGGGAAAGTGAGTGTAAGAAAAAAAGTGTTTGTGTGGCACTTGTGTGTGTGTGTGTGTGTGTGTGTGAGAAACAGAAAGCGAGAGAGAGCAAGGGTGGAGACAAAGAGCGAGAGGTTTTGGCTGGTTTCCTACAGTAATTAGTTCAACCTAGCTATTTGTTCTTCCTACCTCTATTAGATGGGAAAATGTTTCTTCAGGGAGTAAACAAGTTTTTACAGAGGGCAAAACAGTCCAAAGGAAGTAAAAAGATTTGTGAGAGTTGCCAGACTTGGTCAAAGAAGTCTAAAATAAAGGTGCATAATATGTCTCAGAGATTTACTATGGGTGCTATGTCATACCAGTTTGATATGTGGATGATTCATTTCGTGCAAATGAAGTTTTATGAGTATGACTCTAGAATAATGGATGGATAAGATAAGGGTAATGGCGTTCTAAATGTGTGTGATGATTGAAAGGGGTGCATCTCTCCCATTTGATATTTAAAAATTGCATATTTACCCGGAGTCAGCATCTTACCCCTCACATACTCTGGAAACATTTGCGTTCCTTGCTGGTTTGGTCCATGACTTTATTAAGGTTGTGCTTCAATTCAATTCCATTCAATTTTATTTCTATAGCACAATTTAAAATAAAACAAGTTATCATTATTGTACCCAACAAATCCTACCATGAGCAAGCATTTGGTGACATTGGCAAAGAAAATCTCCCTTTTAACAGGTAGGCAGAATCCAGACTCAGGATAGACGGCCAACTGCTTTGACCGGGATTGAGGAGGGGGATATTGGGGAGAACACACAGCACCAAGCAAGTTCAACAGATAGATGAAATAATAGTAATGGTAGTGGTAATAATACAAATATAAATACAAATAACAGTAGGATAATAAGACACAGCAGTGGGTGTTGAGCAGGAACATAGGGACAGTAGGTGGCTTGCAATCATAGATCCGGACTCTGGAAGAAAAAGAAGGGGAGGGCAAGTTAGTAACATTCATTAATAGGATACGAGTGCATACAGATATACTGTATATAAAACAAATACATGAATAATGAAAATTGTGTCAGACAAGAATGTTTAAAACTGCTACATTAAAATTTGCGTCAAATGATTCATTAAAGAAAACTTGAATAAATTAATACCAGGCTAAAAATCCCTCTCCACCTGGACTTATTTGGCGTCAAATGGCAAAATTACTGAATGGTGATGCCTGGGAAAACAAATAGGGATTGGCATTTCAAACAGAAATAGTGTACAACAAATGTGAGATAATCAACTGGCTGCTATCATTGCTAACATCTATAGCTATTTGGGAACAGTTTTTTTTTTTAGTATTTGGGACAAGCCAATTTCCAAGAACAAAAGCTTTGATTCGTGTTATGTGTCTGAAATGTTAATATTTAGCAACAAACCAGAAAGAATCACAAAACCCTTTAATATGATCACAGGCCTATCAGACCACAATCTAGTTCTGGAGGCAAGAAAATTAACAAGCAAAAGATTTTGTGTTTCCACTGCTAAGGAGCAAGAATCTATCAGAATACCGAACAAAGAGCAGGACCGTTTCAAAAACATAATAAATAGATTTAATTGGAGTAATTTGCTTGCAGGGAAAGACTTACATGAGGGAAGTACTGTGCTCTCAAGTAGACTGCAATATTTCATTAAGGAGTTTACTCAGAAATTTAGAAATAGAAACTCCAAGAATAGTCTTTCATGGATTAATGTTGAAATTCTGAAAGTGATGAAAGCAAAAAAAATAAAGGCAAATAAATCAAAATTATGTCATGATAAACACTGTTTTTCAATGCTGAGGAACAAAGTAACAGCTCTGTTGAGAAAGTCAAGGGCTGACTTTTTTCTGAGCATAATAAGCAAAGCAGGGGGAAATTCGAAGTTGATTTGGGATCAATTAAAAAAACTGATGGGGCAGGAACACAAAGAAAGAAAACCTGTTGAACTTTTATTAGATGGAAAACGTATCTCTGATCCAGCTATTGTTGCTACGGCATTTAACAACTATTTTGTTGACTCTGTTGCATCTATTGCGTTTTGTTTTTCACAGATAGACACAAGTATTTGTTCTGTTTTGTCGTCAGAGCCCAGCCTTGTGTTTTCCAGTGCCTCTGAAAGAAATATAGAAGCCTTAATCAAGTCACTTAACACATCAAAAGCTAAAGATTTGTTTGGAATGGATACTATAATGCTGAAAGAATTAGGTTCATCATTAGTTATCCCCATCACAAAAATTATAAATCAGTCTATCTAAATCATTTCCAATTACAGACCCATTAGTATTTTGCCAGTAATGTCAAAGGTTCTGGAAAAGTGGGTATCTCAACAAATTAGAGATCACTTGAACAACACTGTCTTTTCCCTCCATCCACTACAATTTGGATTTAGGCCAAACCACTCTACCGAGACAGCAAACTGCTTTTTCGTTGAAAACATTAAATCATTGCTTGAACAATTGCGTTGTTGGAGCTATCTTTTTAGATCTCAGGAAAGCTTTCAACACTGTTAATCATAAAATTTTACTCTCCAAACTTTCTCATCTTAATTTCTCGGATAGTGCTCTTAAGTGGGTAGCATCTTTATCAACGATCACAAACCGTACGTATTGGCAGCTATCAGTCTGAACCTCTTCACTTGTCCACTGGAGTGCCCCAAGGGTCAATTCTGGGCCCTCTTCTGTTCTGCATATATATTAACAACCTACTATGTGTGTGCCCAGAAGTAAATATTCAAATGTATGCAGACGATACAGTTCTATACATACATGGGCAATCAAAAACAGCAGTGGCAACTAAACTTACAAACGCTATGGTAAAGATCAGTGAATGGCTAAACCAGTGTAGCCATCAGTTAAATGTCTCCAAGACAGTTGGTATGTTTTTTACTAAAACTACCAACTCCACAGCAAATCCAGACATTGTAATATCTGGTGAAAAACTTCAAATAGTTACAGAATAGAAGTATCTTGGTATTCTCATAGACTCCAAATTTAATTTTAATTCTCATATCACCATCATCTAATTTTCGATTTATCAGGAACTCAATGTCCACCCGAGCAGCCAAAATGTTTATGCATTCACTGATTTTTTCGCATATGACTTACTGCCTCACCATCTGGTCTCAGGCCAACCACACCGCTTTAAAACCAATACAGTCCCTATACAAGCAAACACTTAAAGTTTTGGATAAGAAACCACGTCATTTTCATCACTGCAATATTCTGTGAAAATATAATTTATTAAGTTGGGAAAATTTTATTAAGTTCACAAATATCTGTCTAGCATATAAAATCCTTCATGGCCTGGCCCCTCCACCTCTTAGTGAGTTTCTGAGTTTAAGGTCCAACTCCAGTCGCCTCACTCGAGAAACATCCAGAGGGGACTGTGTCATTCCATTCAGGAAAACTGCGTTTAGTCAGTCAGCCTTTTCTATTAAAGCTTCAAAAGAATGTAACAACATCCCAACGTCAATCAGAGAAATTAATAGTTATAATATATTCCGCTCATCATTAAAACGTTGGCTCCTTAGCAGTAAAACATGCCAGCAGTGAACTACCACCGCCGCTTTCTTGAGTCATCTTGCATGTTTTTTTTAGTTTAATTTTGTTTACTCTGTCTCTTAAGCTTTGTATTATAACTGACTAATGTCTTTGACTGTGTTCTTAATATTGACTCTAGTTGTTTTATGAACTGCAGCTTGTGCTCTTATGTTCTGTCGTCTCCAGCTGCATTTCTACTTAAACTCTGTAGCGCATGAACTCCTTGTTGCATGTTTGTTTTGGCGTCTTATTCCTGCAACTGTAGCAAATGTAATATTTATTGTATTTTTGCCATGTGACAATCAATTTGTTTTACCTATTACCTATTTTCAGGGTGCCTATTGTACATCGGGCCTAGGACTACAGATGAAAAATAGCCTTTTGGCTAACTCTGGCATATTTTGAGCTGTCATGTTAATATGCACTGTCCTTGCAAATAAATAAATAATAATTATTATTATTATTATGTGCACTATCTGTTATCAATACACCCTCTTCACATGACGAATGTAGACTTTTTAAACATCGTATAAAGACACATATTGAAGGTGATCAAATTAATACCATTTATCACCTAGGCCTAACTAGAGGCTAGCAAAAACAGGTTTTAAGTGGCTTTTAAGCTGATTTGTAAGTTACATTTATTTGTGTTTATTTGGAAACAGTTACAGTATAATAATATGTACACTTTACTATGGTAATGAAAATAAATCAGTATCAGGAGTGGCTGAAATAATGTTAATCCAATGGATTCAAATTCTGAACCTCTGAAGACAATCATTATCCTGAAAATCTGGTTTGTCAAGAGGCTAATTACAAATCACCTCGCTCCAGCAATCACCATGTGTCTCCAGGTGCTTCATTTCCTGTCCTCATGCTTTGATTTGCATTTTCAAGTTGTGGCAAGAAAAATACTGCACTTTAAGGGAGCTCAAGTGCATCTCAAACCTTGTAGCACATTTGCCAGACTGGGGAGAGGGAGCGATGCAGAGACTGTGCCTCTACCACTCAGCCCTCAGGCACTCAGTTACCCATCTACCCTCTCTCACATACAAACTCCTAATACACCATGGTGATGTAATATTATTCTGGGTGCGGAAGCCTCATTATACATGTGTCAATAAATTATTAATGCCAATAACAAAATATCCATCACCAGAATTTGTTTTAAAAACTTATCGACCACTTTATTCACAGCATGATTTGGATCATTTCTGCTTATTAGACCGCCTGCCTAAGTAACAAAGTACAAGGTGTGATTTAAAGGCATACTTACTTACTGTACTGTGCGCTGTAGATATCTGTAAAGAATACAAAACACATTTAATTGGTCTGTCAGTTCAAAGCTTTCTAAGAAACATTACTTACAAGAGGGCAGGATTACAAACGGTATATTTGCAACAACAGTAAGTGGTTTTAGGGTTTAAAGTCAAATTAGCACTGTAGAAAGAACTTGTCCAACAAGCATTCCTTTTTGTCTTTTTCATTAACCCTAATGAAAATATTCTTTTAATATCTAAATCCTCTTTAATAAGCAGAACTATTATTTTTATTTCGCAAACGGAAAATAAGAAGTGAAAGAATTAAGCCTACAGAGATGGAAGCCTTGTTGGTGTTGTAGTCATGTGTGTGCTCAAGTACTCAATAAAAAGGCAGCAGACAGAAATAAATGTATTCATCAGAAAAGTCCGATTTATATGACAAAACAGAACAGAATCCATCCTGTCTGATGGCACCCACACAAAGTTTCATACCTTTCCATTTGGGTTTCCACTTAATAAACTCACTACACCAGCAGATATAAACACTCCTTCATACCCTCAGTCCTTTCACTGCTAACCTCTAATAGTGAAAGTTAATATCAGCTTGATAACCACTCTTGGTGAATATTGCTTTGCGTTTTACTTAAAGATAGAGTTCCTATGCTCTCTCTGTTATTTCTTGTCCTTATATGTTGTATTTAAGTGTTTTGTGTGTGTGTTTTGTCATTGTGTGTTATTACAGTTTTACTGCTGCAAAACCAATTGCCGCCCTAGGGTACAAATACAGTAACACGTGACAACATTATTATACATTTTGTCTTCAAAGTGCACTATTTACAGTCCAAAAATTAATTTCTACAGAGTCTTAAAGAAACTGTTATTAGCTCAACAAGGTATATAACAGAATAAATTATGTTTTCGTAAAAGCTTGTTATTGTGGGCTGTGTGGAGGTGGCAGTTTGTTACCACAGCAACAAAAGTCAGTAGAGATATACAAATTAATATTCAAATAAAACCAAAAGCGCACAAAAGGTCAAAGAAGCTGTCTAAATAGGATATCACTCCATTATATATACCCAAACTGGAGAGGAAGCACAGCTGAAGACAGTGAAGGCTCCTAAATATTGATTTCTTCTTTTATAATTGAGGCAGATGCTCAAGTCAGGAAACACTGTGTCCTTTAAATGCACACAACAGCACTCCAGTTTCACTTGACCATGCCTCTAGTGATTCGAGCTTAAAACATCGCTTCATCTTTTTTGCCATCTAATCCTGGTCTATTGTCCTGGTTGAAATTGTGGTGGAGCTGAAGATTCAGGGGATAATTCTGTGTTCGTTCATCACTATGAGCGACCCATTTTACATTGTCCCGTTGTGTTGGTGCTGTAATCTTTAGGGTAAGAATACCACCAGCTTACTTAACGGAGGAATAAACACACATATTCATCGTTGGTGCTTCAACAAGAACAGGGAGCTCGTACTCTCACTATTTATTTCTGCACATGCACAATTGTACATCCCGCACAGGGCATGACTCTATCAGTGTAAGAACACATTTAAACAACATATTAGTCGATATGTTAACACCCCCACTTGCTCTTATACTATACAAGTCATAGTAAAGCTAACCTTATCCATAACTGTACACACTTAGTTCACAGTTATACAAATGTCTGGCAGTCTATAGTTCAAACATATAACCCATGAATTTCTCATTTATGAAACAAAGTTCAGAAATGAGAAATTCATGGATTTAGTCAAAACATCTGCAACCATGTCTGTCGTTGGACAATATTCAAGGATTGCTTTACCATCACTGAGTGCAGACCGAATGAAATGATAGAGCAATTGCACCCTGGTTATCTTCAAAGATTTTTACTGGTGCATATTGGCACTCACTATCCATCTCGCTCAATAACTGTACAAGATACAAACTTTCTTGTGTAGTAGCAGCCAGTGCCATGTACTCTGCTTCACATGTAGATAAAGCTACCGTTGGCTGCTTCTTAGATCTCCATGAAATAATTGGTCCACATCTAGTTAAACTAAACAATAGTACAATACACTAAAACAATACACTTTGATTTGTTGCCCAATCAGCATTGTCTCTTCTTTTTCGTCGGCAATTAGCGCCTTTATGAGTGGAACTCTTGCAAAAGCTACACCACTGTCTCTGTTCTCTGCACTCGCCAGTAACCATACAGTCCCGGGCTTTGTGCCCTTTTTGGCCGCAGTTATAGCAGATTATCTCATGCTCTTTATCTTTTCCTCTTGGCCAGCTAGTGTTAACGTTACTTGCCTTCATCACGTTGTCATCAGTGGAAATGGCGCTAAATTTCTCGGTGCTTTCGTAGCTCCTCAACTTGGTTTTGAACTCGCCAAAAGTCATCTGCTCGTCACTCTGTGTTATGTGGATGGCAAACGGCTTAAATGATTCGGGCAACCCTTTCAGGACAATTGCAATTAACAGCCCGTCACTCAAAGTCTCATCAGCATTCCTCAGTGCTGTCATAGCCGTCTCAGCATGAATGATATAGTCTGTAACACACAAAGAGAAGTTAGCTCTGTGTAGAGGCTAATCACATGTGGCTTCCCTTTTTCCTGCATAATGTTACCTTAATATCTTCAGTACAGTCTCATCATCTGCTGCTTCTCTCATGACCACAGAAAGACTTTTATCATCCAAAACTTGTATCAATTTGGCGTAGGCTTCTTCATTTTTGTCTTCATCGTCTTCGTCTTTACCCATGTTTAATATGGTGGCATTTAGCCCTAGCAAACGCATGTGCCCCAAAAACTTAGTCTCCCACAACTCGTAATTTTTCTTAATAACATAATCTATGCCATCGGCTTCTGTGTTCCCTCCTGGGTCCATAACCTGTTGGTGCTGTCATCTTTAGGGTAGGAATACCAGCTTACTTAACGGAGGAATAAACACACACACTCATAGTTGTTGCTTCAACCAGAACAGGGAGCTCGTACTCTCACTGTTTATTTCTGCACATGTGCAATTGTACATCCCTCATAGGGCATGACTGTATGAGTGTAAGAACATATTGATATCTAATGAAACACTGGTCAGTTGAGGAATATCCGTGACTGAAGCTCCTGCAATGCATGCCCCAACAATGAACCCTCTTTCAAAGTCACTTAGATTTTTTCCTTATGCCATCTTGATACAAAATCAGATTCCACTGGGCCTGCTTAGCATTTTTATACATGCCACAGATCATGATTGTATGTTAACTGCTTAATTGTACCATGCAGTGCACCTGTGTGGAAGTATCTGCATTTGTTGTTTCTCCACTCATTTATTCAGGTTTTTCCTTTATAGAGGTGGTACTATGTTTTTTTTTCCTTTTCCCCCCACCTTTATAGAGTTATATCTCTTTTTTGTGCATGTACTAGGTTTGCAAAGTGAAAAAGCCCAAAGGGAGTTCCCATCTCCCACAGAAAACTCTGCTCTGAACCGCTTGAAAACAGCTTGTTTCTTTTCCCCTTTCTTGTAACGTCACAATGAAATTACGTGTCATAATGCTCGCTGAGCGCCTAGTCCGACACGCCCTCAAAAACACCAGTGGAAAAACACAGAGCTGCAGCACACAGCTCTCCTCTCCCTTCCAAACACTAGCTACCCTCCAGGCAGCCAGTGGACATAAAGTAGTTACTGTGATGTAGAGACAGAGCTCAGTTAAAACTTTATGGATGAAAAATACTTTTGTTACAAATTAATAACTCACCACTCTGAAACACGCTCCAGTCCAAATTGCCAACCTGGTCTGCAACATCTAGCCTACAGCTGAACCGAAGCTGTTTACCCTCTTTTCGCTGACCCGCCTTTCTGTGCTTCTGTTTGGCTAGTAGTCCTTAACTAGGAACTGCGCATGTGCAACTCCCACAACAAAGATCATTAGAGACAAGATGTATCACTCCATAGCTAAAACGAAGCCTTCAACACAGGGTGAAAAGAGGAGCTACAGCAACATGCAGTATGACAAAAAAATATGGTGTTTTTTGAAAATTAAACCATGTAAACCTGTTCTGGTACAACCCCTAAATAGGATTTTGAACTTGAAAATGAGCATGATACTCACCATCTGTATGTCGCCGTGATCAGCAGCTTTGAAGTCATATCTTTACTTTGCATAAATTCCTTAACCTGTTTCCTAGATGTTGTCTTAAATTATAGTCAAATCAGTCAGTGTCATAAATTTACATTTTATCAATAGCACTCTGCACACTTTGTCACCTGTGAGGAAGCTGGGGGAGGTGTCTTTTGTCCACCATGGCTTGAATGCATATATGGATATGCAGAATGTTTTTGGAACTTTTGGATACAATTAATTACTATCACTGCTTTTTGGTTAACCTTGTCAATTGCAATATTCAATGATCAGATAACATTCTAGAAGGGTATTTTGTGTTTGTGCTCAAGAGTGACGTTACTTCTCTGCAGGTAGAGAATGCTATTAAAATATAAAACAGCTTAAAAGTTGGGATGATGGAAAGTCCCTGGTGGTCATCCACGTTGCTAGACTCAGACAGGGAACCTGAACACCTGACAACAAGTTCACAGACCCTTGCAGACATCCTGAATGGTTTGCTGTCCTTCATAGTGTTTCTCCATTTCTGGATCCTGAGAGTTTGCTCAGAGCTGAAAATAACTTCTTCTCTCTAACACAGAAGAGCCTCTTTCCAGTATCCACTGAACTGTGGGTCTTTTTCCATTTTGGTCTTGAGCTCATGTCATCTTTATTAATCTTTCAAACAGCTTTGTTTGCCATGCTTAGGGCAATTCTCACAGTTTTGTCTCCTTAATGATAAAATCTTTGCATGTACGACATCCTCCTTTCAAGTGTGGAATTTGCTTTTTCCAAATGACCTTTTCTTGTCTCAGACAGATGTTTTCTCCAAAGAGCAAATGGCATTTTCTGGTGTTAAAGCTCAAGTGGATACATTTTTCTTGTTCTTTTGTGGTGTAAGTTAGATCATTATCAGTCATATTAAACCGTGCTACATACACTGTCATGCTGACATCTGGTAACCTTATTGATATAATTTCACTGATGCCATCCTTGGTGGCCATCACAAAATGAAGATCACAGACAGAAGTGGCAGATAGGATTTACACACTGCAAACAAATCTCCTTTTTACAAACCACCAAAATATTGTATAATTTTGAAAAAAAAATTGTATCAAACAAAAAATCTGCCAATGAGCCTAATGTATTTTTGCCAGACCAGTTTACATCTCTGAAGCATGACATTTACCTGTGAATTTCTATAAATGCCGATATTTAACTATTTTGAACAATTGTTTGGCATTTTGGGCGGAAATTGACAGTGGCCAAAACAGTGACATGACATTCACAAGACTGAACACCTAATGCTAGAAAATATATTTGAATATCTGTAATGTTCCTATATTTTGTTTGGACCACTGGCTCCATCATACTGATTAGCATGCTGTTTGCAAATCACCCCATCAGCCAATGCCATGAAGCAACCAGCGCCATACCCACGATGTGCAGCCAAGCCACAGCCAGCTGATCAACCCCAACTTAGCTTAGGTAACTGTTAGCTAGTTGGCTGCCCCTGCCTTGCATTGATCTTGGCTAATAGAAAGCAATTGTTAGTTATGCACAGGGGTTAAAGTGGGCCAGGGCTGTTTGGCATATAGGCCTACGATGGGCCAAAGGAGTCAGGATGAATAAGCAGATTCAGTACTTTGCTATGTTACTTAGCTAGCAATTGACCCTTCGCTAAGTCACGCCCCGATCACAGCGCAGTATAGGACTCGCTCTAACTGAGGTCCGACACTTTCATGGCTGCGCACCATTGACTCTAATGTAAAAGGAGCTTTCTTTTACCATATTTTAAGATATGGTCAAACGCTGTTCTTGGGGCACTTGTAATAGTTACAGTCGCTACCCAGAGAGGTTGAAAGGACAAGTAGGATTTTTTCTCTTTTCAAAACCTAAAACAAATGCAGAAAAATGTAGGCTGTGGATTGTTCCTAATGTAACGCTAGCTAACTTATTACTGAATGTAATGTTATATAGCCCTACTGTGACTATGACTATAATAGTGAATAGAGACCTATCCAGCTGCACAGAAACAATGTTGATCCTTACTATCGTTGTCCTCTTTCTCAATAGTCAGGTGATTTGTGGTTCACTTTTACTCTTTGATCGGTAGACTTTAGCTTTTATCATTAGTTTTTTTCACGTCAGTTTGACAGCCTGTATACAACCTTCAAATGCACAATGTACCTGCAGTAATAGACAGTGGCAGCACTGCCATTTTGTAACAGTAACTAAGGGGGGCGTGGCTTAGCGAAGGATCAATTCTTCCGCTTTAGCAAGCAACATAATGTTAGCTAAGATTAGCAAGCTACCAATACATTGCAGTAATGTTGGACTTTTTGTTGGACTCACTGTGGAGGGGGATGGTTTTTTTCTGATCTTAGCGGACTTTTCTAAGCTAGCTAGTGTTGCACACTGTTGTCGCTGTAGGGTTGCAGAAGAGAAGCCAGGCTGTTATAGGAAATGGAGAAAGTCAGGTTGTCTGATAGTTTAAGTTGCATTACAATTCCTAATACAAACATTACTAATACAAAGCCACGTGTACACTATATTGCGTCACATTCTTGGTACCTTTTAGTCTTTAGACAGTTGAGATGAAATTAATATGTAATGATATATTTAATTTGTTACTGGATTTGGCTTAGTTCACATACAAAACTGCCTTTTACATCACAATTGTTTCCAAACAGACAAGCAATAGACCTATATGACACAATAACATAATTTCAGCCAATATTGTATTTTGCACTCACAATAGTGAAAAGTTGAATCTAATCCATCCATGCATCTATCCAATACCTATTGCTTATATATTTCCAGAAAGAGTAAGAGACCAAGACAGCTACATAGTAAGTATTTTGTATCAGTCATAGAGGAGCTGCAAACATGTATTCTTGGAAGAAAAATGACTGCAATAGATTTGACAGAACTGCATTGCATCACACTATTCTTTAAACCAATTCAATAAAATTTGCTGAATGATATGCCTTCATAGTTGTCTATTTCTTACGTTGTTAAAAGTTTGGACTTGTGTCTTGTCAGCTCAGGCTGAGAAATAGATATGGAATAGAGTATTTTATGTTTAAATCCTGACCAGTTACCTTTTAAAAAGTGTAATAATCTCATGCAAATGGAACATGACAAAAGGTTTCATCCTAAATAACAAAAGATTTAATCATATATTGAAATCAAACAAGGTATAGATTTTATGAATGGTTTTTATCTTATTTACTCTTTGATTGGTTGCTTTTTAGTAAACAATGTTTTACACTGTGTATTCCCCTGCTATTTTATATATTTGTTTTTTTCCTGGTGAGGAGCATCTTTGTGCTGAAATGTATTATTTGCTTAGTTCATGTATGTGGCGATTTATCTAAGCAGCTTAACCATTTGTTTGTGTATGCATGTATATTTTATTCTTTGATCAGAAGGGAGCAGATGGGATGTGGGGTTGGACTTACTGTGATCGGGTCTGGAAAAAAAAAAAAATCCTTTGAAATAAATAAATAAAGAAGTCTAAATAAAGAAGTCCAGGCTTGGCACAGAGAGCCAAAATATGTCTTAGTGATACAACATCTCCTGACAGGTACTAGTGGTTCACAAGTTCATTTTCATGATATTGTATGGAAGGAAACATGATTGGAGAAACCTCTCAATGACACTGTAACGGCATCGACATCAGCATGGATACTTAAAGTATTTCATGGTGACGAAAAGTTCTCCAAATATTTCCCTAGCCAGGGGTTTACACAGTATCTGTTTCTTATGGTAATTTCTCTACTCAACCAGTCACAGGTTACCATGGCAATTGTTCATTCTGCCAGCATTGGCTGGTTGGAGAAGTTGAGCTAACATTAGTCAGCTTACACTGCGTTTTCATTTGACCATTGTCATGGGTTTGGGTTTGTGGGGTGTGTTTTGTATTTGTTTTATTTGTTCATACCCTGCCCTTGTGTTTGCTCTTCTCTTTAGTTTATGTATGTGTTACTTTGGTCATTTGTTTATTCGTCAGGTTTCCTTGTTATGAGTTCATCAGTGTTTCTAGTCTTGTGTTACTGTCTCTGTGTTCTTTGCTTTTGTTTTTTGTTAGCAAGTCATTTATGTTCTCTGTGTTATGTTTCATTTTGTGACATTGTTCCTTGTGTGTTTCAGTTAGGTTTACTTGGCTGGAGCCAATATCAACTGACATTGGGCAAAAGGCAGGGTACACCCTGGACAGGTCGCCAATCCATCGCAGGGCCGTGACAGACGCACACATATATATATACTGTATATAGCAATAAAAATATTAAATGATGATAATATGCTAAGCCAACATCATAGACAAAGGGGGAATTTTTCTGAGATGGTAAAGCACACATTAAAAATAAGTAGTTAATCAGCGCATTTATTTTATACAACTACAACAACTGCTGTACTTCATGTTTAAGATGCACACAATGCTTGTCTCTCCTGGTTAGGACTGTTGGTCAGAGACATCCATTGAGTCAAACATGAACAGCCTTCCTAGTTAGCAGATCCAGTGCTTTTCAGTGCTTTTACAAAACTGCAGAGCGCAGCAATAACTTACTCATGCACAGTGTCACATTCAAACCTAATTTTGAAAGATCTGCTGACTAAAGGCTAATTCCTACACAAAGCTGTTCACTGTCAAAAAAAGGCTATTTTGGTCTTATTTC